CTGAGGAGCGTGGTCTGCATAATGGAAGAAGGTCGTTATGGATGCCAGCTTGACCACATGACCAGCTGCAGAAGTGTCTCTTCTGCTTTTGAGATGAGTGTGCTTGTGTGTTTATTGACCACACACTTTATTTTCTTCTCCTCTCTTGTGCGCTATCATCTAACATAAGATGTGTTAAGAGCGGCTGCAGGACCAGGCAACACTTGGGAGTGTGAGCTGGCAGAGGAGAGTGAACACATCCCGAAGGAAGGGGAACAGGCTGCGTGTTTTCAGGATGGTTGTGTCGTGTTAGGAGGGAGCATCTCTGTGTTCATGTCTTTGTTTGGAAATTATGCCTTACAGAGCACTGTAAGTAAGGCTGGTGTGCTGGGGCCACAGCGACAGGGCCGGATGGCTGTGTGGCTTGGCTGGGGCACTTTTCTCAGAATCCCCTCTCCTGCATATTCCTGGTTACAGGGATCACCGGAGACATTTCTGCACGAGATCTGGAGGCCAGAAGAGAAGCAACAGCCACACCACTGTTTTTTTTTTTTTTTTTGTGAGGAAGATTGGCCCTGAGCTAACATCTGCCAATCCTCCTCTTTTTTTTTGCTGAGGAAGACTGGCCCTGGGCTAACATCCATGCCCATCTTCCTCTACTTTATATAGGATGCCGCCACAGCATGGCTTGACAAGCCGTGCATCGGTACGCGCCCGGGATCTGAACCGGCGAACCCTGGGCCACCACAGCGGAGCGCGTGCAATTAATCGCTTGCGCCACCAGGCCAGCCCACACACCGCTGTTTACACTCAGAGGGTTGAGCCGGGGTCACACATGTGGTGCCGGCACAGTTCCACCTTCCTGGATCTGCCTAGCCTCTCTGACTCCTGAGCCAGGTGTGTGCCTCCCTTCCGGACAAAGTGTGCCAACTTCTCAGGCGGGACCCATCTCATCAGGGTTGGAAGTAGAGAGAAATACGTGAGAGCTTGTCCATCCCCATGGTTTCCAGGGTCTGCACGTCCACCCACCCTCTGCCCGTCCTGCAGACTTCAGCCTCCTGCCTCGGAGGCAAAGACAGCAGCCTTCCAGCAGCGACGGTTCAGCCAGCTCCCACAAAAACGCCCAGGGCAGGTGCTGGTAAACAAAGTCCTTGATGCCTCTCTGCCTCCTGCTGCGTCTTTCTGTCTCTCCTTTCTCTCATCTATCTGATCTCCTGATGGTCCTTCTTCTCAGCTGCACCCCAAGTGACCCAAACAAGGAGAGAGACAATGGAGAAACAAGTCATGCCACGGCACCAGCAGCCTGGAAACCATTTGCTGCACATCTTGTTACAGCCGTGATTTGTGAGTTTCGTTCACCCTTTAAGGTGTATAAGTACGAAGTGAAATCTGATAAACTTTTGTTATAGATGTGATTTAATTTGCTACTAAGGAGAATTTGATTAAATACTTTTGTAATTGATACCTAAATATTTGGAAATTAACTTTGTTAAATATTTAATTTGGTGTTTAAGTGTTTGATATGCAGCGTTTAAATATTAAAAGATTTACAGGTCTGAGAAATGGGACACAGAACAAAATATGAGTTTCCCTCTGCTTGCCCAAGAGTTCCTCAGCTATTAAAGAACTGATTAATAATATATACATACACACACACACACACACACACACACACACACATGGAAAGACAAACCAAAGAAAAGTTTTAGGCAACTTCTTTGAACTTCCAAGTCAATTAAAGTGAGTACGAGCTCTTGGAAGCATGAGATCAACAGCCCCGTGATAAGGGGCAGGTGACAGGCATGGACAGAACTGAGTCTTCGATCAAAACCTGCAAAATTACAGCACATTACAAGCAGCAAGTGGTAGACCCAATGCTGAAGAAAATCCGGTCGGAATGAATGGGGCAGGGAGGAGGAATTCCAGATCAGGCCTGGGGAAAAGGCAGAGCAACAAAGTAGGATGCCACAGTGGGGGACAGACAGTGAAACTGAGAATGAATGAATTAAAATTTCCCTGGGTTAGAGAAAAAAAAAAAGGAAAAGAAATTGAGATCAGCTTTGCTAGCTGCAGCTGTGCACACTCAGCTAAAACTAACCAGAACTTCTGTTTGAGTTGTTTTGCCCAGTAAGCCAAGGTCCAGATGGTCAAGAAGAAAGGAGATTCAGCCTCACAAGGCCAAATGCAGGCTGGTGGCAAGATGCCAACCAGCATGGCCACATGCTCCCCCTCCCCTACTTAAAACCCCAGATAAAAACCTTTTTCCCTTGGAGGAGGTGGATCTGAGTTCTAACTCCCATCTCCTTGTCTGGCTGCCTTTCGATAATAAACCTCTTTCCTTGCCACAAGCCTGACGTTTTGGTCAGTGATTGGCTTTTGCTTTGCATTAGGTAACAACAGGGCCATCCAGAAATCGGGCTATCCACGTGGAGGAGAGAGACCGAAACAAAGGGCAGAGGAAAACCTGAGATCCCGGCCAGAGGATCTTGGGTCGTCTGCAATGTTTCTCTCCCCTCCCTCCCTTCTCTTTGTTTTTTTAAACAGAAGGAAAGTGTTCATTTATTACTCATGCAATTACAAATGCGTGTGAAGGTCTTTTCTGAAAAATAAAGCAGAGCCGTCACTGCAGAGTGAAAGGACCTGCCGTGTTCCAGGAGAAGAGAGTGTGACCGACGTGGCCACCTTCCAGAGATTAGCTTGTTTCTGCTCGTTCCTGATTTGTGTGTGTGCCTGCGTGTGCTCCCGTGTGCTGCACATGCGTGTATGCACATGTGGGGGGCCAGCTGGTAGCTGCCAAACCAACACCCAGCCTCCTTCCACATCTGGATTACTGGGGTGTCGCCTACAGACACAGTCACCTTTTGGGGGCATTGCTCTGTGAGTTTTAACAAATGCAGCAGCCCTGCAGCCAGCACCGCCCTCCATGCCCCAGTGACTCCTGCGTGCTGCCCCTTAGAGGCTGCCCTCCCCCCACCCCAGCTGGCACCCCTTCTGCTTTCTGTCCTCTGAGTTTTGTCTTATCCAGCATGTCACGAGATAGGATCCTGCGGCTGGTGGCCTTTGGTCTGGCACCTTTCCCTCACGCAATGCCTCTGAGACTCAGCGTGCTGTTGTCGGTACAGCACTTGCATCCTTCTCATGGCTGGGCTGTACGCCACTGCATGGCGGGGCCGTGGTTCATCCATGCACTGATTGAAGGCATTTGGGTGGTTTCCTGGTTTGGGCAATTATGAATAAATCACTATAAATATTTGCTTACAGATTTTTGTGTGAGCAAGTCTTCATCTGTTTAGGGCAGTTTCTCAATCTTTTTAAAATTCCTGCTCCCTGAGAAGCCTCTTTAGACTTATTTTCCTTAACTGCCCTCCTCTGCCACGAGACTTTAATACCACAGACGCACTGTGCGTCTGTCCGTGTGCTGGCCCTTTGGAGGGCCAAGAGGCATTGCTGTGTCTAAGATCTGCCCCCCAGAACCAATATTCGCCCCCTTAGGGGTGATATTGCCCCTGTTGATGATGCATGCTTTGGGGTCAGTGTCTAGCAGGGGGATTGCTGAGTCATGAGGCATTGAACTTGGCGGGTCACTGGTCAGGGACCCCTCTCCAGGCACGGTGCCCTCCTCCCTCCCTCCGCAGCGGATGAGAGCCCCAGCACTTGTTGTGGCTGGTTTTCTGACATGCAGCGTGTGACCTGCACTCTGGGGGTAGCTGCTGTGGCTTCGTTCCTCTTCTTCTTTTATTAACAGATCCTGATTTGCTCCCCTGCTGCTAAGGCTGGCCGTGTGACGCAGCCCGGCCATCGAGACAGAACCAGAAGTTTTAAAACGGGGAACAGATGCAGCAGGCATGCCCTGCCAGGCTCTGTCTCTTCCGCTGGCTTCCTCCTAGAACAGTGAGGTGACGATGGCAGCCTTCTTGCAACCATGAGGACAAAAGCCACAGGTCGAGGATGGCAGAGCAGGGGAACCTCAGTGACATCTCGAGCCACTCCACCTGCTGGGAATGCCTGCCCCACACTTGTGTGAAGCACGCAGACACAAAACTCTGTTTAACTCTGTTCATTGGGCCTTCCTATTCTTATAACTAAATGCATTTCCTTAGTGACACAGCCCTGAACATCAGTAACACAAGCACAGAAAAAAGGGAGCCAGAAATCCCATTAGAAATGCTTGTTTCTGGATGGCGGCACTGGGGGATCTTGATTTTCTCGGGATGGTTCTTTCGTTTCCTGGACTGTCCACAGTGAACACTTCGGACCTCACAAATCTACAGGGAGCATATATTCTCCTAAAAGGAGAAGATAGAAACCTTTTGAGCAATGTGAAAATGTAAATAATGCTTTTGATGAATACTTGATGCCCTTGGGAATTTCCTGGGCTATAACAAGTAAAAAGAAGATACAAGTATGTATAGAATCCCAATTTTGTAAAAGAAACAGAGGGAAAGAAAGATTAAGGGAAAATGTACGGATGTTAGCAGCAGTTCCTGCTGGGCGTGAGGTATGGGTGGTCTAGGTGTTCCCCTCCTTCTCCTATCCGTCCCACAGTGAGTGTGGATTCCGCCATTCGCAGCCACGAGCCCCAGCAGCTACGAGCTCCGTCCCTGCCTTGGAGGCCCAGTGGGCTCTCTGGGCTTGTACACTCGGGCACCTGCCTCTTCTCCCCTCCTGCTCAGGCTCCTTCAAGGGCATGGCCACAGCACGGTCCCCGGTGCCGTGCCCTCCCTGGGGCGCTGTCGTCGGCCCATCCCTGGACTTGCTGGTGTGGGGTGAGGTGGGAGAGCACCCGGCCCCTTTGGGGCTGCCCTCTAGTGGAGGTCCCAGGCCTTGGAACTTTCTGGTGAAACGGCTGCTTTCCTTCTCCCGTAGAGCTGCCTCCGCCACGCACAGCCGAGACTCATAAAGCTCAGGGACGGGGAGTCACAGCTGAGTGGCAGCCCACGCCAGGCGCCGCGGCTCTCGTGCCCTGAGAGGCCAGCCGGCTGCTGGGGGCCTGGGCCGTGTCCTCACGGCGGTCTCCTCACCAGTCAGGTCTGTAGAGAGCTGGGCACAGCACGGTGCTCCCTGTATTGTGGGTAACGTTGGCTAAATGGGGTCACAGGTGGAGTCGTCAGGGTTGGTCCTGGAGGAAAACGGGGGTGGTGGGGATAGGATGAGGACAGAGCTGCCTGGTGCTGTGGGAGGGTTTTGTGGAGCATGTAAAGAACCGGCTTTGGGAGAAATACGAATGAGACCAGACATCCGCGGAGCACAGGGAGGCGGGAGGGTTGTCAGCGGGGCCACACTTCGCCGACGTCTCAAGGAAACTGCTCTGACAGGTCTGCAGGCGGGAAGGGCTCACGTGCCTCGGAGCCGAGCGCCAAGCCCAGCGCTCCTTAGTGTCTGTCCTGCCGAGTTCGGGGCTTACTGTTTGGCGGACCCTCAGCTAGCAGGTGCTCTGTGTAGAGCAGCTTCCAGAAGGTCAGGGCCAGCCCCTTGGGGTTACCCACAAACAGGTGGCCAGCCTGTGGGCCTTTGTGGGTCATCACGCTCAGCTGGTGCCTTTCTGAGACGACAGTGGTCTGCAGGGGGCGGGGACTGCCCCGCACTGGGGTCCCCTTGTAGACCCTCCTTCGTTGCCCCTGCATTCGGGGCTCTCCCCTGATTTGCTGTGCCCTCAGATGAGAAACCAGTCAGTTGGTACTGACTCTCCACCAACAGGGGTCAAGCCCGTCCTGCCCAAGGAAGGTTTTCTGCGTGTCTCTGCTCACAGCGGGGCCATGAATGCACATGCTTGCTGAGCAGCTCAATTCTGGCACGAGGGTCCCCAGGTGCAGGTCAATGGTGCCCAGCTACCGACTGGGTGGAGTCCAAGGGCAAGGCCCATCCCGTGTCTTCTCCTCTCGGCAGTGGCCGTGCGTAGGTCCGGGAGAAACTGCTCCCCTTGACCTTAAAGCACCGCATCTGCCCACCAGCTCCACCCTTGGCACCCATGCCACCAACCCTGGGGTCCACCACCCCTGCCTCACCACGTGCCCCCTAACTGGGCCTCTGGGCAGCCAGATGCTCCTTTAAATGAGTTAGCGGCTGGGACTTTGGGGTGCTCTCCCGCTGAGGCCCCCCGCCACGTGCCCACCTGCCCCCATGCACCCGTCATTTGGCATCCTCTAACCATGCACTTCCTGGTTCTTCCCCTGGTGGCCTCAGGCTTCCTGCTCTAAGAGTCCCAGACCCCGGAAATGTAGGTGTGGGTCACCCAACCCTAGGAGTTGGCTGCAATGGGCAGGCACAAGAAACATCTGCCTAGTGAAGGGAAGGACGCAGGAACCTGCACAGGTCAGCAACTGACACTGTCCCCTGAAGCAGGTGCACCCAGCCGCCAGCCCGTCATGAACGGGGTTCATCCCCGAGCTCGGGGAGAGGTCTGCAGGTCAGAGGGCACCCCCTGTGCATGCCATGTCCACCGGCAAGAAGTGGGTAGCCAAGGCATCGATGTCCAGCCCCAGCTTTCCAACATGGAAGAGAGAAGTGAGGACACACAAGGCAGACAACCGTCCGTAGATGTTTATTCTACTTCAAGTAACAAAACCTATGAAGTTCCATGTTTTAATGTACAGTGATATACTTTGCAATATAAAATACAATTTACAGAAATTTTTATCAAGTAAACCTAAAGAAACATACTTGATTTTTATATTTACGTATTTAAATTAGAAAAATTTGTTTTACATGTAAAAAAACCTTCACATCATATTAGATGTTGGGACTTGACGCCACTTTAATGTAATTTAACCTACTGACACTTGGTTTACAAATCAGTCATCCCAAACTGCTAAGTTCTCATCTTCATAACTTAAACATTTGTGCTAGGAAGCGGAAAATCTGTAGTGATGTAGAATGGAATAATAGACCCCAAAGAACAAATGAAATCCTCTAAGTTTACATTTGTAAAAGTAAGTTTATGAAAATATAAAAAAATTATCAAAGTGTATTTGTACAGTCAAATAAATTAGCAAGGTTTTCTCTATTTCACACTTCAGAAGTACTTGAAAAATACATGACAAGGAGCAGGGCACTGTATTTCACAGTGAAAAGCTTTCTAGCTTGTAGTTCTTGAACTAATATCACTATTTTTTATCTCATTTTATACAAATATTGTTCCATTTTCAATGACAAAGTTTAAAATGTATCACCTGACAAATCTAACAGTCTGGAGCGAGTGACCTTTTCCTGGGACACACAGAAAGAACTGCTCAGATGGTAAAGTTCCACAAACACACGTCCCTGATATTCAAATCAAAGAAACCCCCCCCCCCTTTTAAAGTATACTTAGTTTATTTTCTTTCTTTAGGCTGGTAAAATTTAAACTTTTTTCAATAAATTGTTATTTAAAATGCAACAATTTCTACTCAGATGTTGCTTTTAATCATGTTTTTCGGAAAAGAAATGTATAAGAGGATATATAAAAACTGAACACAACTAAGAAATGTGTTTTGTTTCCTGGTCGAAATTTCTAATTCAAATTTCTTCATGAGAAAAGAAAAAAGCATTTGTAACTTTTGTGTTTCTCAACATTCCAGGGACGAGATGACACAGTTCTCCCACAGCCATGGCACATGGCACACCCACCACCCTCCGGAGAGCTGTCAAACCTGAATGAACAGCTTTCGGAACACAGAAATACAGATGAGATGTCAGTCAAAATATGGCTCTAAGGTCCACTGAAATTCCCTTAAAACTTACAATAGTCAAGTTATTGGAAAAGATAACTTTATAATCTGAAAAAGCAATATGCTTTTGTAGACACTTTCCCATTTCAGTAATTTTAAATGGAAATATTAAATGAGTTCTTAGTTCTTTTTAAAAAGCATCAGAATTGTAAAGATGCAAAATTTTGTAAGAAACCATTATACACAAAATTACAACTTTTGAAGTCCAGAATATTCTATTCTGCATCTAAGTTCATAGCTACTCAAAAACGACTTGTTCAACACACGTTATGAGCTTGGTTGTTAACGAGCACGGCTGCCCACGGCCACGACACAGCCAGGGACCGGGGCTCTAGGCCTCCGCCGCGGGCGCCGGGCTGGCCTAGGTCTGGGCAGCAGGGTCGGTCCGCGGGGCCTCGGCCTTCAGGTCCCGGGTGCTCTCCTTACTTTTGCTGCGGTCCTTGCGGTCTCGGCCCCGCTCGCGCTCCCGGGCCTTGTCGCGCTCCCGGTCTCTGCTTCGAGACCGCTCCCGGTCCCGTCTGCGGTCGCGGTCGCGGTCCCGGTTCCTGCTGCGCTCCCGGCTCCGGTCCCGCTCCCGCTCCCGGTCCCTGTTGGCGCTCCGCTCGCGGCCGCAGTCCTTGTCTCGGTGTCTGTCCCACTCGCGGCCCCTCTCCCAGTCGCGCTCCCGGCTCCAGTTCCGGCCGCGCTCCCGCTCCCAGGGCTTCCCGTGCTCGCGCTCCCGTCGCCGGTCCTCGAAGGCCCGGCCCTGCCGATTCTCCGGCAGCGGAGCTTCAGGCTCGTCCAGCGCTTTGTCTTTGGGCCCGGCTTCAAACCGCTCCCTCGGCCTCCCTTCAAAAGTCTGGTTTCTATATTCCAGGCCTTTGCCCTCTCGGAAGTCGGCCGAGGCCCACTGTGCCTCGGCCTCGGGCCCCTGCCCGGGGGCGCCCGAGGGCAGGGAGGAGGGCGGGCCGGCCTCATCCCACCTGTCCTTCCTGTGCTGCGGCGGGTGGCTCGGGAGCTCCAGCAGGGGCCGCGGAGCGGGCTTCATCACTTGTGCCGACTGGCCCTGGAAATGGAAGCGGGAAGGCGCCGGCTCATTCTTTTCAGGAAAAGGCACAGAACCCCTCGGTCCACCAAACTGAAGGGGTGCTGGTGCCCTTTGGTTTGCAAACCTCGGCGGTGAACTGACTCTCTGCTCCTCAAACTGCTGAGGCTGAAGCCCCCTGGGCCCCGGCATGAAATTCGGTGCCTGGCCTCTGGGTCCTTCAAACTGACTGGGATGCGGCCCCCTTGGGCCCACAAAATGGCCAGGGGGTGGTCCTCTCTGACCTCCAAACTGAGAGGGAGGAGGTCCTCCTCGGGGTCCTTTAAACTGCGACAACAGAGGCCTTCTTTGGCCTCCAAACTGGAAGGGTGCTGGGCCTCTGTTGCCCATGAACTGGGCTTGCTCTGGTCCTTCAAACTGAGCAGGAGGGCCAGCCATCTCATTGTAGGGGGTGTCCTGGAATTCCCTTTTTTCCCCATGGGGATCCGTGCGTTCTTCGAATTGGGGTGGTGCTGCTCCTCTGGGCCCACCAAGATGAGAGGGGGAGGGCCCCCTGCTGTCCCCGTAGGGAGGAGGCCCATGTGGCCCTGAGAATAGGGAAGGAATGGGCCCCTTCTGGGCCCCGAATCTGCCCGGCGGAGGCCCTCGTGGCCCATCGTTGTTAGAAATGATATTCTCTTCTGCAAATGGAGGGACTGGCCCCCTTGGTCCTGGGAAATTGGGGCCATGAAGCCCTGACATGCCAAAAGTGCGTGATGCAGGCTCACGCTGGCCCTGAAACTGGGGTGGAGGGACCCCTCCTTTCTGTCCAGGTAGGGGGAATGTGGCGGCCCCCTCGCCAGGCCTGGACTGTGGCTCTCTGTCTCCTTCAGTGTCAGCTGCCAGATGGTCACTTTTTTCAGCAAACTGAGCATTTCTTGGATCCTCATACTGGGACGAGCCGAGGGATTTTTGCTGAGATGCAAACACTGGACTTGAGAAAGGATCTCTTCCTCCAGGAGAATTAAAATTCTGCCCCTCATTCTGCAAAGGGAGATTGGGCTGGAAGGAGGTGCTTGGAGGGGTGGGCAACAGCACCTTCCGGGCAGGTCTGGATGGCCCATCCCCGCCTGCCATGGGGTGAGCACTCTCTGCGGGCTGCTGGCCTGGACTGTCTGAGGGCTCACGCTTGGGGCCGTCCTGCTTGGCCGGCAGGGGAGCCTCTTCATCTGGAGACCATGGCGGAGGGGCTGAATCCTTTTCTTCCTGGGCCGGCACAGGCCCCTGAGCAGCAGCGGCCCCTCCGGGCGCGTCTCTCACTGGTGGGGTGCTGTGCACACTGCTGGCTGAGGTCTTTGAGCCCGGCTCACTCTCGCTGCTCTCGGCAGCTAATCGCCGGGCCTGCCGGGGGTCCCGACTCTGTCGCAGGTCAGAGCTCGGGCCCGCCCCCTGAGCGGTGGTGGGGAGCACAGCTGACTTGCTTGCAGCCTGCTGCTCCTGAGGAAACAGCTCAGCCTTGGGCAGCGAGGACTTGGGCGGCGGTGACATCAGTGCATCCGAAACTGAGAAGTGAGCCATGGAGACCCCGACGGCGGCCCTTTGCTGTCGAAGAGCTTCTTCTTGCTCCTCAACTTGTCTCTTCTGCTCCTCAATCTGTTTATTGAGTTCTTCTATCATTTTTTGTTGCTCAACCAAGGAGGGAGTAGAGATGTCAGAAGCATGTTCGGCAGGCCTCTCCGCAGAGCTCCCTTTAGCGTCTGCACACATCCTATTGGGCAGGTCATCAATTGTCACTTTGGCTTCTTCTAAAATCGTCTCGTCCTCCGGGTCATAGGCCACCTCCTCCCGCTCGGCTGCGTCAGAGGCCCTTTCCCCATCATGGCGTCTCCCTCGCTGGCTGGCCTGAGTGTCGAAG